CTATTAACGATTGCCATTACTTCATACATGAACGTTATTAAAGAAGAAGTGTCCAGTCTTGCTGAAGACTGATCTAAGATGGATGTCAGTACACTCCTTACAGTCCGGATCGGTCTCTCCCAGACACCACCCATGTGACTGGAAGCAGGCGGGTTCATGACAAAGGTACAGCCTAACTCTTTCATACGTTCCCGGTCCATTCCCTTCATCAACTATAGGAACTCTCCCTTTGCACCAATAAAGTTGGTACCTTGATCACTATGCAGCTGACTTACATTGCCACGTATCGCAATGAAACAACGCAGTGCGTTAAGAAAAGCATCAGTGCTCAAATCATTTAGGCAGGTCAGCCATCCTTTGCTCCTGAATGCATTTCCTTAGCTTCCTACATTTAATACATTTGTAGATGTGAGAAGACACTTCACTACTGCATCCCAGAATCCAAATACCACTGGAGCAGATTTCATTGATAGTCATGCCACGACCTTGATGTTGCACCTTCTCATGGAAGTGTTTTATGAGTAGACGAGATACATGATGACCTTTAGGAAGAATGGCCGGATGCTTGACATGAGGGTGAAGCTCAGCCTGAGTCAGTCTTCCTCCCACCCGTAAGATACCATGATCATCAATAAACGGACTTAACTTGTACAGCTTATTGAACTGATTTTAATTAACTTCCTTCCCTTGTCTTAGAGATTTGATTTCGTCTCTGAACACTTCTTCTTGGATTGTTTGAATTATGAATTGCTCAGCATCCTTTCTTTCTTCAAGTGTTGTGGCTTCATTGGATCTTTCTACTAAACCCTTCACTCTCCTTGCACAACGTTTGAGCCTCGCTACAGCTTTCACTGCCCTCTCCCAATCCGAAAACCCTTGCATGTGATCTGACAGAGAGCACTCTTCCTTTGCCTTTGTTGTAAGAACCTGTACCCTTTTGAGTTCTGGGTCTCCCTCATCAACCTCTCCTACCTTAATGTCTTCCTCAGGAAGTTCTCTTTGCCATAAAACTTAGTCCTGTAAACCAGTTCGATCCCATGAGTTCCTTTACAGTGAGCCCCCGAGAGGCATGGTCCGCTGGGTTTTGATCTGAAGCAATGTATCTCCATTGACTAGGCTCAGTGCTTGACCTGATCTGCTGAATTTGGTTGGCTACAAATACATGGAACCGGCGTGCATCGTTGTTAATATAACCAAGAACAACCTTGGAGTCGGTCCAGTAGTATTCACGAATGCCATCCAATTCTAGTTCTCTTTTGATCAGATCGCCAGTTCTTGTGGCGACCACAGCAGCTGAGAGCTCCAGTCTGGGGATTGTTTTTACCTTTGTTGGGGCAACCCTAGCTTTACCCATAACGAGAGTGCAGTAGACTTCTCCAGACTTAGTCACAGATCTGAGGTATGAACATACTCCATAGCCTGACACACTGGCGTCCGAGAAATGGTGCAGCTCATATTGCTGAACATCTTTGTATGTTGATGGCACATAACAACGTGGAATCTTTACCGAAGACAGGTTATGGAGATCTCGCAGCCAAGCTTCCCAATGCGGCTTGAGGTCATCAGGAAGTGGATCGTCCCAGCCTGTCTTGTCTTGACACATCCTTTGTAAGGTCCTCTTCCCAACCAGAATGAAGGGTGCAACGAATCCAAGAGGATCAAAAATGGAAGCAACTGTAGACAGCACACCTCTTCTAGTGAAAGGATTTTCCTTTACTATTACTCTGAAATGGAACTCATCTGAAGCTACGCACCAATGAACTCCAAGCGCCCTTTCTATTTTAGGTTCTCCTAGGGCCAAGTCAAAGTCAGTTGCATTTTCAGTACATTCCTCCTTTGGAATTGTGGCAGTCACCTTCTTGCTGTTGGTGATGAATTTATGCAAGTGAAGCTTTCTGGTATTGCAGAGATCCCTGGCTTCCTTTACAAGCTGGATTGCCTCTGTTTCAGTGTCCACACTTGCTAAGCCATCGTCAACATAAAAATTACGTTGTATAAACTTCACTGTGGCATGATTAAACTTGTCTTCACCTTGTGAAGCGAGGTACTTAATCCCGAAGTTTGCACATCCAGGAGAGGAGGCAGCTCCGAACAAGTGTACCTTCATGCGAAAAACTGATGGTGGAGCTTCCATGTTGCCTTCTTCCCACCACAAGAACCTGAGGTAGTCCCGATCCTTTGGGGCAACATTAAACTGATGGAACATACGCTCCACATCACACATGATGGCTACTTGCCCTTTCCGGAAACGACACAAGACCCCAACAAGGGTATTTGTGAGGTCCGGACCCAGTCAGTAGATGCTCATTCAGAGAAGTATTCCGAAATCTTGCCGAGCAATCAAAGACAACTCCAACCCAACACAGATCTTTGTGCAAATGGCTGGTCGTCATTACCACGGAGAACATCTTTGGGGAGTAAGGCTTGAGGACAATTATAGCCTATTAACAAACCTACTTCACAGTCAAGTGCAGGAGCCATTTCATCTGCCAGATGTTCTAGATGAGGCCAGTTCTTGGCAGTTTCACATGTGGGTATATGAGATCTATTGACAGGTATGTAGTCTCTAGTGTAGGTCGTTGGAAGTTGAATTTTCACTTCAGACTTAATGCCACTTACTTGTAGTCCATTCAATTTGTGAGTGGACACAACCTTCGTCTTGGAAGTTATTGTTGAAATCTTGAGTTTTACTGGCTCATTTTTTTATATCCAGTGTCTCAGCTGTGTCCTTTAGAATGAAAGGGGTGTCGCTTTGGGTATCAAGCAAGGCGTACACTAAAATCTCCTTCCTTGGTTCAGCTATAGTTGACACACATACTGGAACGATGGATGAAGTATAAGTGCCATTCTTTTCTTGTACCACTCTGTTTGAAGTCACAGGCATAGGTTCTTGTATCCTCTGTGATTCAGTTGTTCTGTCTGCAGAGTCTTGATTAGCCCTTGACTGATATTGGATGAGTCTTGCTCTTTGTCCTGGGCCTTTATTTACCCGATCATGATGTAAGCACGTCGAATGATATTTTTCACATTTTTCACACACACTCCTAGAGGTGCAGCCCTTAGAGTTGTGACCAGCTTTAAGACAGCCAAAGCACAATTTCTCAGACTGTACAAACTTCAATCTTTCTTCAACTGGTCTTTCCATAATCTTGCGACACTTATGAAGCGTGTGGTCATGCCTCTTACCAAAGACACACATGATGCTATTCCTTTCACTGGAACTAGTAGTGAATGTCTTAGCACTTGAGTTATGATTCCGTTGAAACTTAGAGTGATCTTGATTAGGTTGCTTGAATCTCTCTTGCTCTACTGGCTTTATTGCTTGCAATGAGGTGATAGGATTGCATGCGATTCTAGCTTCTTTGTTGAGAAATTCAACAAAAGTATTTGAAATCAGGGAATCCTTTGTATTCATCTTGGAATTTAGTAACTGCTCTATTCCAACGTGAACTCAACCACTCTGGCAATTTAGCTGATATCCTTTGATTTTCAACACAGTCATTCAGAACTTGTAAACCTTGAACATAAGGCATGGCTGATTCAACGCTGGTCAAAAAATCTACAAATTCCCAGAGGTCTTTGCTATCCTTGGTAGCAATATTGTGCCATGACTGTATTTTGTCACGGTAAGACTTGCCAACTACAAATGGATGGCCAAACCGGTCTACAAGTATGTTCCAGGCAGCCATGTAAGCCGCTTCTGTTCCAACCAGGAAGTGTCCTTCAATAGCTTTCTTGGCTTGGACCACTTACATACTTGGGTAGAAAGAAGAGCTTTTCTTGGGCCGGCAAGTTCTTGCGATCAATTAACGTCTGAAAGGACAGTTTCCAATCATTATACTTCAGAGGTTCTCCTGAGAAAACAGCAGGTTCTGGAATTGGAATCCTATTGGCGGTAATAGCTTCAGCAAGTGCCTTCACAAGGTCATTAGAGGTTTCATTGGAAGCAGCTAATGCATCTGACTGAGAAACATGAACTTGAGTGACTGGAAACCTTTGTTGAAGAGGAGGAGCAGGACACATTTTTCCCTCAGCATCTTCGATGCTTTCAGTACAAACTTGTAGCCTTGCTTGTGCTGCGTTATGTCTTTTTAATTCTTCTAATCGTTCTACTTCCTTTTTCTTCTCTTCCAACTTAATTTTTCTGACATTACTTTCTGAGATAAATTGGGCCCTTTTTCTTGCATTCACTGCTTCTATTTCCCTTTCTTGAGCTTCTCTCTCGGCCGTTACCCTTTTATCCTCTGCCTCAAGTTTCCTGATTTCCTCTTCATATTGATGCTGTGTCTTCATTATTTTAATCACCTCGTGTAGCTGCTACTTCAGCCGCTGCTTCTTGTCTTTTCTGCAAGGAATCATGGGAAGACTGACTGGACATCTTAGAAACAGACTTTGACTTACTGAAAGTTGCTGAGATGATGCTGGACACAGTGGCTTCAAACACTGAATCTGAATCAGGCCAGGGTATGTCCTCAGGATCTCCATTGAGAAAGTGTTGAGCCTTTTCATTTGCAGTGCTAGTAATGGCAAGACAGGTGTAATTTTTTCTCCGAATTTCTGGCTCAGGGCTTGTGAGGCTTCTTATCTCAACATAAATATGGTCGACTTCAAACTGAATGGCATTAATGGTGCTCACAACCCAACAACAAAAATCAAATCTGCATCATCATTGTTCTTCATGGCTCTTTTCAAACCATTGATGTGATACTTCCATCTTCTATACTTCTGTTCAAAGCTTCTTTTCAGATTGTTCAGTCTAGCATCTTGTTTTACCTTTTTCGGTGAGCATGCGTACACGCTGGCTTCTTCTAATATCTGGGAACTGTGTATTATCTGCATCCTCCTGAGTTTGTTGTACTTGTGCAGCCACTTCCACATGCTCAGCTATTTCAGCCTGCTGTGGTGGGATAACCTGCTCTGCATCATCAAATTCTTGTGCTGTAGGATCTGCACAGATAGCTTCTTTAGCGGACAGCACTGTATTTTCACTTATATCCGACATGTCAATTCTGTATTGATCTATAATGTGTTATTCAAAAAGGACAGTCTAAAATTATAGTGTAAGCAACTACCTCAGCTAGACTCATGTGACTCAACCATGTAAATTGTAAACTATAGAACTGTAAAAAGGCATGAATATACCTTGTAAAATGTTAATATTCCGAATTATAAAGTATACAAAAACTTAAACACACAGAAAATTTAAACTTCAGTCTTTTTCAATAATACATACAACCCATTTGTTTGTCTACTTAGTCCTTATAGTTTCTTAAAAAGCCAACGATTATTGGAAAATGTCCAGTTTTATCTTAAAATGAGGATGGAAATACCAGCACAATTGAAGCTTCAGCAACAGTTCACAAGATCTTGCGCTGCTTCCAAGACACTAACTGTAAAGTGCTTGCTTTGTTCAGCCTTTACTTGTTCTACTGCTGCTTCAGTCAATCAATAGCGATCGTTTTTAAAGTTGTACTTCCCTTATCCAACATCTGTTGCCTCTTGCCGGCCGACTTCCGCGTGCAGCTTTTACCATCTGATGATCTTGGCTTTCACCGACGCAGTAAGTGTTCTACGAAGAAAAGGAGGGGTGAGGCATATCTGGAACCATTCTCAAGACAGGGAGTGTTTTCTAACAGATGGCTTATAATTATAGAGAGAAACACCTTTTAAGTTTGCGAAGATTACATCGTTCCATCTCTTCATGCGGATAACAAAACAGGAAGTGACATACAAAAGTACGATGGGAATAAAATAACCAAAAAATCTTAGAATAATTAAATCTTGCTCAAATAAACAACAGCTGAATATAGAAATCACAATAAACATTATAAAATAACCAAAATATAAAATTATACAAATTAAACAAATCAAAAGTATCTTAAGTAAATAAGTGCTGAAGTACACAAGCGCCATCTAGTGGAAATAGATATCAACAACTCAGATACCCTTTATGACAGAAAATAGAAACTTTGATGTAGCAAATACAGATAGTCTAGCCCCTTTTTATTACAAAATATATGTAAGGATTGTCACAGTCTACGTATTACGTTTATTTTAGGTAGACCAAGTTACCTTCATGATGAAAAAAATCCTGACTGGGCACCGTCACTTAAGTTGGAAGTAAAAGATGCTCACAGCCAAACAAACTTAAGCAGATATCAGAGAGCCAAAAAAAGACCAGCTTTAGGAAATAGGAGAAAAGATGAGAAACTTGTAGTAGACACCCTTCTTGAGGCAGCTGCAGTGAAACAAGGCCCTAAACAGCCATGTATTAGCACAGAGGAGAGTGAGGTGAAGGCAAGAGCTACATGTGATTCAGTGTCCTGCAAAAGTGAATTCCAGACAGCAACATGTGATGCCAACACTGATTCTGCATTATTAATATCCACAGACAGCACTGAAACTAAGGTGAGTTCATTCATTATCTGATCTGGTCACGAGGTATTATCTCCAGTAATACATGACATAAAAATTAGGTTAAAGAAAAGTTTATATCTAGTGTTTATATTAAGCTAATTTCTTTTAGGAGAGCCTCAAAGCTCAAATAAAAGCCTTACGGGAGAAGTTGAGAATCTCACAGGCGTTTCAACAAACCTTGCATCAAACTGCAGAATGCATTAAGGTCAGAATTTAATCATGTGGTTTTAGGCCTTACAACAATAATACTTTGAAAATATATATTGACACGTCCCCCTTATTTTATTTATTTTTTTATTTTTTTTATTTTTTTAAAGGCAGAAGTAAACTATTTCCTGTGAATGTGTGAAACTTCAGATTCATTAGCCACTATGGGTAAATAACTAGAAGGATAACAAAATGCAGTACCTGGTAAAACTATTTGATCAGTGCGTTTATGATTATGATAATAAATTAAAAATAAATGGCAGTTTGAAACATCAAGCAAAGTAACAGACTGTATTTGTACATCTAAAATAGCTGAAAGTGACTGACGCAGGAAGCCTTGCACATTTTAATTAAAAGACTTTGCACAAACTTCGTTTACCCATTTTGTCTTTCTTGGAAACGTCTTTGATTCCAGATTCAGGCTAAATGCACAGAGAAGCAGATTAAGGAGAATTTTGTCAAACTTTACCAGTTGTTATCTAATGAAGAAGCAGCGAGGATAAAAGCACTGAGGGAGGAAGAAGAGCAAAAGAGCCAGATACTGAGGAAGAAGACTGAGAAGATGAGAAAAGAGATGTCATCTCTTTCTGCCACAATCGCAACTGTAGAGGAGGAGATGAAAGCTGAAGATGCTTTACTCCTGCAAGTATGAAGCATGTGTTTTTTTGTAGAAATTACAGCATCTTCATTATAATGGAGATTAATGCAAATATGTCATTTTCAAAATTCTAATTTAGTTTCGCTGCATAACCTGCATTTCTTTTACCCTTTTTTGTAGAACTATGATGCCACTTTGAAAAGGTTTGTATCGTTTCTCCTCTGTTGTTCTGAACTCAGACCCACAGCATCACTGATTGCTGAGTGTTTTCCCAGAGTTTCCCAGTGTAAAGCGCCAGATCCAGAGGACATTTCTGGAGTTCTGATCAATGTGCCAAAACATCTGAGCAACCTGAAGTTTACTGTGTTACAGAAGATGCAGAAAACTGTTGATTACAGTGAGTAAAGCACACAATGAGTTCATCTCCATCGTAAGAGTAATTTATTTTATTTCATGTTCGTGTGTCTCTCTCTTCAGCTCCTGTGACCTTTGACCCCAACACTGCTCACTGTAATCTCATCCTGTCTGAGGATCTGACCAGTGTGAGATACAGCAATGAGGAACAGACTCTTCCTGAGAATCCAGAGAGATTCGACATGTTCGCGTGTGTTCTGGGCTCAGAGGGCTTTGACTCTGGCTCTCACTGCTGGGACGTTGAGGTCGGAGACAGTACAGGCTGGTTCCTCGGTGTGATGACCGAATCTGCTCAGAGGAGGAATAAAATATTCTCAAGGAGTGGAATCTGGCTGGTGGGTCATTTCTGTGGTGAATATAAAGCACATGAACCACCACAATCACCAGCTCTCCTCCCAGTGAAAGAGAAACTGCAGAGGATCAGAGTTCAGCTGGACTGGGACAGTGGAAAGCTGTCGTTCTCTGACCCTCTTACTGACACTCATATGCACTCTTTTACACACACGTACACTGAAAGATTATTTCCATTCTTCGGTGTTGGCTGTGACATTTCTCCTTTGCTCATCCTACCTGTAAAAATGACTGTAATAGAGTCCAATTAATGGTAAAATTGTTTGTCTATAAACATGAATTGATGTACATTTCCATTTTCAGTAACTTATAATAAATATAGAATAGATTTGTTTTGGTTGCATTTTTTGCAGTTATTTCCTAATTTTGTCTTTTTACTTAAAACCTTTCTTTCATTCAAATGGCAAAGATGTGAGAATGGACTGTATGTGCAGTGAATACAAGAAGCATTCATTTCAATATTCATCTTCTTGCTGAGAACAACATGTATGTACAGTGGTGTGAAAAGGTTTTTGCCCCCTTCCTGTTTTTTTATTTTTTGCATATTTGTCACACTTAAAAGACTTGCCGTAATTGACGGAACCTTGAATTCTGCACTCTATCAGAAAATCCTGATGGAGAATGTCCGGCCATCAGTTTGTGACCTCAAGCTCAAGCGCACTTGGGTTATGCAGCTGGACAATGATCCCAAACACACCAGCAAGTCCACCTCTGAATGGCTCAAGAACAACTAAATTAAGGTTTTGGAGTGGCCAAATCAAAGTCCGGACTTAAATCCGATTGAGATGCTTAAACAGTCCATTCATGCTCGAAAACCCTCCAATGTGGCTGAATTAAAACAATTCTGCAAAGAAGAGTGGGCCAAAATTCCTCCACAGCGATGTGAAAGACTCATTGCCAGTTATCGCAAACACTTGATTGCAGTTGTTGCTGCAAAGCGTGGCACAACCAGTTATTAGATTTAGGGGGCAATTACTTTTTCACGAAGGGCCAGGCAGGTTTGGACAGCTTTTTTCCCTTAATAAAATAAATAATCATTTAAAAACTGCATTTTGAATTTACTTGCATTATCTTTGTGTAATATTAAAATCTGTTTGAGGATCTAAATCTTTTAAGTGTGACAAATATGCAAAAAAAATTAAAAAGCAGGAAGGGGGCAAAAACCTTTTCACACCACTGTATGTAGTTTAATATTAACATCCTAACATTAATATTTGTACCTAATCCACATTAACTAGTCAGAGAGTTTTAAGAGAGTGTAAATTTTAAATGTCTAAAAATAGGGGAAACATTTTTTTTTTCTTGAAATAAACTATTTAAAAAAACTTTTTTTTCCCAAATAGTTTCCAAAGCAACATTTCTAATAACTAAAACTGAACTGTATGTGTGTATATGTAGATATATTTAAAACAAACATACTACACATATGTAGTACATACTACAAATGAGAAAAAAAATGTAATTATGAAATGATAATGGAATATATAAAATAAAAACTTAAAATATTAATCAAAACTAATAGTATCTCAAATGATAACACGGACAAAGCTTTATTTGTTATTTAGTTGGTTATTGTGTTTAAAAAAATATATCTAACCTTCAATTCCTATAGCAATTTCAGTAAGCATATTGAATGCGAAAGGATATATATATATATATATATGTATTCGCTGAGGGACAGAAAGAGAAGGGTATAACTGCAGCTTGGAGATCTCCAAATGGAGGCGGGAACTCCAAAACGGGGTGGGAGCTCCAAAATAGGGCGTGGCTTCCTTCCATTGACAGACAGGCACATGACACGCATGCGCACTTTTCCCCCCAATCAACTTCAGTGCAAACTCCGCCCCACAGCGAATTCTAAAGATGTTATTGGTTGAGTCAATCACAGTGTTGATTTCCTACACTATGCTACAAAAATGCTAACCCCTAAACCTACCCCACACCTGACCCTAACCTTAACCAGTGAAAGTGACTGCACGCTGAGTGACTGACTGGCGCTGAATAGCTGGTAAAGAAAGATGCCGTTCAGGAGATAAACAGTTAATAAGATTATGCAATATGAGATCGTTCCGTAACTCCCCAACCGGTGTTACGAGATTTTCGGTTTCCGAGATACAATTTAAATATATTTACCTTTTAAAAAAAAAATAATAATAATAATATATATCCAATTAAACCTGCTGAAATACAAGGAGCATGAACTGAAATTCTCAGTTCCACGCGCATGTCTGGGGAAACTCATGAATATTCATGTATGCCCCGCCCACTGAAACCAAAAATCTCGGAAACCGAAAATCTTGTAACACCGGACCTCACCGGACAATGGCACCTTTTTAGTTACACCCAGCGTCACTACCCCCTCCTACCCTGCGAATTTCGAGCCCCGGGACGCCCCCGCTGCTTAGAACAAAGCATAGAGGTGGGTGATTCCCGTTTATTAAGCAGAGGTTCAACTCCGGTCCGAACACCACTGCCACGAGCTTTGAGCTCTGCTCTCACGGAGAATATGTATTTATTTTAGATGAACTAGAAACAATGTTTAACTTATAAAATGTTATTTTGAAATGTAAGTCAATAACAATTGGCTGGAGCCAGAGCTAATGGGGAAAGTCTTTGCGCGAGGAGACCCCACTCCATTTTGGAGGTTCTGCCCACTTTTGGAGATCTCCGGTCTGCAGTTATACCACAATTTATACCTACTTGGAGAGAAAAACCCCGCATGCGCACTGTTCTCATACTGGCCAAGAACCGCCCACTTAGACCGGAAGAACTCACGTGACTGACATATAATGTGACCAATCACAGTTCGCTGTTGAAACTACAGTTCGTTTTTAGGGGCGGGTAAATCTGAAATCGATGATGAAAATAATGGCACAGGAGTCTCCGCAAAACGTTGTACAGACCAAACCGAAGAAAGTGGAAAATGACTGTTTGCTCTGTGGTAGGGAATTCTATCCATCCAAATGTAACAAGCACCGACTGTTTCACGGGCACAAGTCTGAAAACAAAGCGGATTATGCGGTCGTGTTGGAGGAATTAGTTGGCAAACTTCAGGGCACGACTCTGGCCATCTGCAGCATATGCAGAACTCTGTTGCTGAGGTACGACCGCGTGTCCAAAGACGCAGAACGAATCAAATGGCTTATTAAAGATACGTGGAGGAAGATGAGAGAGAAACGATGTGCGGAGTCAACGCCTTCAATGGAGGTGAAGAGACGACGAGAAGTGATGGACACAGCAGCAGCTGATGATGATAGAAACACTACATCCAGCGCACTACAGTTCACCGACAGCGCTGCAGCTAAGGCCAGTCCGCTCTTTGTTTGAGATCCAGTTCAGCGTTTAGAGGGAGTCCCTTGTTTAAGCGGTTGATCAGAATGCAATGTACCTTTAGTAACCAGGTGGAAGAAAGCGTGATGGAATACATACTAAATGTAGTATAACTGTATTAAAACGTGCAAACAATCATCTGAAAGAAGTACATGTTTAAATTTATTAGATGTACAGGCGCTGGTAACAGGTTATTTTATGTTAACCCATGCTGTTGATTTATTCCAGGAGAAACTGAAAACTGCATTGAAACCATTGCAGGTGAAGTTGAGAATATTTCAGGAGTTTCAAAAGACTTCGCTTCAAACCGCAGAACATATTAAGGTAAGGAGTTATTAAAGTTTAAAAGCAATGACGCACTCTTGTTTTGTAAAATGTGTGTGTATACTGTATGTTTATGTGTATATAGAATATAGACATACATTAGTTTTCAGTTTCAGGCTCAATACACCGAGGGGCGGATCAAGGAGGAGTTTGTGAAGCTTCGCCAAAGTTTGTGTAACAAAGAAGCAGCCAGGAAAAAAGCACTGAGGGAGGAAGAAGAGCAAAAGAGCCAGACACTGAGGAAGAAGATTGAGAAGATGAGCAAAGAGATGTCATCTCTTTCTGCCACAATCGCAACTGTAGAGGAGGAGATGAAAGCTGAAGATGCTTTACTCCTGCAAGTATGGAGTATTTTTTGTATTGTTTTATTTTAATATGTAGAAATTACACCATTTTCATTTTAATAGAGCTGAATGCAAATTTATTATTGTCAAGAATTCTAATTTAGTCTTGTTGCATATCTTGCATTTCTTTTTTCTTTTTTACAGAGCTATGATGCCACTTTGAAAAGGTTTGTATCGTTTCTCCTCTGTTGTTCTGAACTCAGACCCACAGCATCACTGATTGCTGAGTGTTTTCCCAGAGTTTCCCAGTGTAAAGCGCCAGATCCAGAGGACATTTCTGGAGTTCTGATCAATGTGCCAAAACATCTGAGCAACCTGAAGTTTACTGTGTTACAGAAGATGCAGAAAACTGTTGATTACAGTGAGTAAAGCACACAATGAGTTCATCTCCATCGTAAGAGTCATTTATTTTATTTCATGTTCGTGTGTCTCTCTCTTCAGCTCCTGTGACCTTTGACCCCAACACTGCTCACTGTAATCTCATCCTGTCTGAGGATCTGACCAGTGTGAGATACAGCGATGAGGAACAGACTCTTCCTGAGAATCCAGAGAGATTCGACATGTTTGCGTGTGTTCTGGGCTCAGAGGGCTTTGACTCTGGCTCTCACTGCTGGGACGTTGAGGTCGGAGACAGTACAGGCTGGTTCCTCGGAGTGATGACCGAATCTGCTCAGAGGAGGAATAAAATATTCTCAAGGAGTGGAATCTGGCTGGTGGGTCATTTCTGTGGTGAATATAAAGCACATGAACCACCACAATCACCAGCTCTCCTCCCAGTGAAAGAGAAACTGCAGAGGATCAGAGTTCAGCTGGACTGGGACAGTGGAAAGCTGTCGTTCTCTGACCCTCTTACTGACACTCATATGCACTCTTTTACACACACGTTCACTGAAAGATTATTTCCATTCTTCGGTGTTGGCTGTGACATTTCTCCCTTGGTTATCTTACCTGTAAATTCCTCAGTAAAAAAAGATTTGCTGTAGATCAAGTTATTAATCTTGACTTAAAAGTTATCTTCATTTAATAATCTTTGACTCTGCTGCTGATGTTTAGACATATATAATAAATAAAGAAATAAAACATGATTATTGACGAAATAATGCTGAGTCTATTAAAAGGCATGTACATATTTAAAGGAATAAATACCCAAAAATTAAAATTGTCATAATTTTCTCATCCTCGAATTGTTCCAAACCTGTAAGAATTTCTTTCTTCTGATGCACACAAAAGAAAATATTTTGAAGAATGTGGATAACCTAACAACTGCTAGTCTCCATTGACTTTCATAATCCACAGAGATTATATATCTAACGTCTTTTTTTGTTTATATGAAGGAAGAAAATCATACATTGTGTATAAACTATACAGTGGTGTGAAAAAGTGTTGGCCCCCTTCCTGTTTTAAAAATTTTTTGCATGTCACACTTAAAAGATTCAGATCAAACACATTTTAATATTACACAAAGATAATGCAAGTAAATACAAAATGCAGTTTTTAAATGATTATTTATTTTATTAAGGGAAAAAAGCGGTCCAAACCTGCCTGGCCCTACGTGAAAAAGTAATTGCCCCCTAAATCTAATAACTGGTTGTGCCACGCTTTGCAGAAACAAGTGCAATCAAGTGTTTGCAATAACTGGCAATGAGTCTTTCACATCGCTGTGGAGGAATTTTGTCCCACTCTTCTTTGCAGAATTGTTTTAATTCAGCCACATTGGAGGGTTTTCGAGCATGAATGGACTGTTTAAGCATCTCAATCGGATTTAAGTCCGGACTTTGATTTGGCCACTCCAAAACCTTAATTTAGTTGTTCTTGAGCCATTCAGAGGTGGACTTACTGGTGTGTTTGGGATCATTGTCCTGCTACATAACCCAAGTTCAACTGTTTTGATTCTCATCTGTTCTTGAATTTCTTTAGATCGCGGCATGATGTGTTGCTCTTTAAGCATGCTTCACTTTGTCAGACAGGTTCTATTTAAGTGATTTCTTGATTCAACAGGTCTGGCAGTAATCAGGCCTGGGTGTGGCTAGTGAAATTTAACTCAGCTTTCTAAAATAATGTGGTTAATCACAGTTCTTTCATGATTTAACAGAAGGGGGCAATTAATTTTTCACGTAGGGCCACGTAGGTTTGGACAGCTTTTTTCCCTTAATAAATGAAATCATCATTTAAAAACTGCATTTTGTATTTACTTGCATTATCTTTGTGTAATATTTAAATTTGTTTGATGATATGAAACATTAAAGTGTGACAAACATGCAAAAAAAGAAATCAGGAAGGGGGCCAACACTTTTTCACACCACTGTATGTCCCGTTCTTGTTAGGCGATTCAAATTTGACCTCTGATTAGATTGACAACAACAGGTTTTTGGAACCTTTTGATCAGTGATTGAATTCTATGTACAATTTTTTTTATTCAATTGCTCTCACAGCAGTGTTGTTATTGGCAACTAAAACTATTAAAAACCTTAATTACCACTTTTGGTAATTAAGCTGAAGTACAATAAACATTTTAGATGTAAACTTAAAAAAAAAAAAAATCGAAATGTTGCCTTGGCTATTTATTAAAATATGTTCTTAAATTAAAATATGTACTTAAATTTCTAAAACAGAAATAAAAATAAATTAAGGCTATTTAGAAATGTTAAAAACTAATAATTATAACAAGCTCATAAAATTTAAATGAAAACTGAACATGCAAAAGCTTATTTAAAAGGTGAATAAATAATATAATTGTACATAAATAATAATAAAATAACATTGTTTTACATAGTGTTGTCTAGGTAAAACAATGAAACCTTTTAAAACGTATTTAATGTTTATTTTATTTATCCAGACTTTTAATGACTGTGGGAACTCAAATAATCAACACCATTTGAATTACAAATTGTATTTAATTAGCATTTTCAGAATTACAATTACTTTACCATTTCCATAATCACTGATTAACATGCTAGTTTCAAACTATTACATGTTACACGTTACACATGAAAGTCCATCTCCTTGGTCTTGCTGCCACAAAGTTCTTTTTCCCTCCTCTGTCTTTTCATATCTTCCCACTATCAAACTCACTTTGTCTCAGTGGAGATCTGCAGTAGAGGCGTGCTGATCTCGCTGGACTGGTAACTGCTGGTGACTCTCAGCAGGCAGCTGAGTAGCATGTCTTTGGCCCGAGCCGTCTCCATGTTCTGCTCACGGCTCAGCTGGAGAGTCATCTGGTCCAGGCTGGTCTGCAGAAGCTCAGAGGCCATGACGGGCCTGGTCGCCGCAGGTCCCTCGGTCAGGTACTGCTTGTACAGCTCCAAAAGCTTCTGTTCCAGGTAGCCGTTGAGCTGTGAGTTAGAGAGAGGCCGGATAAATTGCAAAAGAGAGGGACGCTCGCGCCCACTTTCTTCCCTCCAGCGCCTCGAACTCCTGTACTCGTGGACCAGAGGAGGCAGGAGGGAGGGGGAGGGAACATCCCCAGACAGGAGGAAGGGCCCAGTGTGGGGGTCCTGAATGAGATTGCCCTGTACATCCCCTGCGCTGGGGCTGAGCGGCAGCACCTGGCCACCAGCAATGTGTAAATCGCTGTAATGCTGGCAGATGCTGTGGCAGCTTGAGGGCACCAAAAAGGCCTCTGTTACTGGGGTGTCCGCATGCCTGGGGATATCCACACCTATGGGGAGTTGCCGTCCTGCCGCAGGGTCCGTGGAGGAAGGATGGGCATCGCTCTGCTGGGTCTTGGTCCGGGTTGTATTCTCTAGGGATGAGTGGACAGGGCTTTGTGCTGAGACGAGGTAACTCGGTGGAGACAATGATTGTGCCATGACCGTACAGCACGTAGGAGGATTTACACACTCTGGATCAGCTTCAAACACCAAACTCCACAGCTTACCTTCACACAACATCTGCAGTACACAAAGACAGAAGTTAAATCGGTTCACGCTCAAACTCAAAAGACCTAGCATTCAAAAGTTTATTTCAGCGTTTACAAGTTTTATTTTTATTTTTTTGAAAGAACGAAAGAAGGAAATACTTTGAGCAAGGGTGCATTATATTCATCAAAAGTGACAGTAAAGACATTTAGAACGTCACAGAAATTTCAATCACAGATATTTCAAATAAATGCTGTTCTTTAGAATCCTGAAAAAATGCATCACGTTTTCCACATGAAAAAAATAAACGGTAAGAAATGTTTCTTCAGCATCAAATCAGCATTTTAAAAAGATTTCTGAATGGTGATATGGCACTGAAGACTGGCGTGATGTATTCATGTTGAAAATTCAGCTTTGCCATCACGGGAATTAAAATAAATATTAAAATACATTAAAAATAAAAAAAACTGTTATTATAAATTGTAATAATATTTTACAATATTACTATTAATGTTATATTAGACTTCTTTACAAAACATTAAAACTTTTCAAATGAAGTGTATATTAAAAAATAAATGATCATAAATTGAAAACTATATATATACATATATAAACTGTATCTAAAGATAAACTACACACAGTGGGACTTATGAAATCTCAAGGCTGGCCCATGGGCAAAAATATAATATCATTGCTCAGTCCATCTCACATTACCCCAATATAAAGGAATCTTGGACTTATTCATTCATCATTCATTCATTCATTCATATGCGCATCACCATCTTCCACAATTTAATATGATTGTCATTACCCAAAACGTCAGACCAACTAACGAGACTAGAATCCAGCAAGAATATGGGTGACAAAAGGAGAATTACCATAGATAGATATATAAAGTTTCCTAAGCGTACCTTTTTTCTACTGAAGAATTTTTGATTGTTGAGCTGCGGTGGTTTTGTGCAGTTCTGTCTCTTTCTCTGAGTCTCTGCCGTTTTTATGCACTGCTGTAATGGTTTTTATTTCACTGTAAGTGAAAGTTATGCTATATTTGTTCAGTTTTATGCTCCACTGAGGGAGGAAGTGAAAGTATGTTGAGATTCGGTCTTCCATGTAAATTTGGAATCACATTTATGTGCATTTATGCATGCCTGTTCTCATGATGCAAGCTTGTTATATTCATTACAATAGACTTCAATGAGCTGTGCAATTTGTGTAATATGCTAGCCATCAACAGGCTAAGAGTATTTCCACACACCTCAGACAAGCGCACCCCGCTCCCTTTGCTGTGTTTCCCCTAGACTTCCAGTCTTTTTTAAGAGGGTTGGTAATTTCCATAATTGAGAGTATATTTAAGTATATAAAACATAAAAGCTACTGTAGTGAATTAAAGGACTGTCTGTGCTAATAGGTGAAGGACCATAGTCCTATTCTGGGTATTTATTGGCACATTGTTGTAATCTGTAATTCTTTTTCTCTTAAACTCTCTCACGCTACTTCATGCAGCTGTCATATTTTGCAGTTTCATTAGAATGAAAAATGTCTCTATAGACCACATATTTACCCTAAAACCAACGTTTGCACCTGCAGCTTTTTGGATTCTTATGTAACAGGGAGTCTTCATTTCCCCATTTCCCCAATACCAATGTAATTCAAACCACTACTAGACATGTAGATTGAACACCCGTCCACGTAGCGGTGATTAATCGGCTAAAGGGTCGGTGACAAAATGCTGTATCACCTACATTCATTACTCATGTCTATCTTATATAAAAAGAAAGATTACCTGATGAACAAGCACATTATAGGCTTTCTCGCAATGTTCTCCCAGTATGCACTTAACTAGATATGCACAAGCAGAACATTGTTTTCAGAATAATGTCTGTTAAAAATAATTAGTACTTATTTAGGCAGACAAAAATTCAGATCACAAAGTCAATAAAATGTTCTTATGTTTTAAGGTGTACAACAACCTTCGGAGAGTGTCATGCCATTTTTATTATTTTTGTTTTCTTTTTTTCCATGCCGGTTCATTATTGTGCTTTAATCTATTTCCCACACACAAAAAAAGCATTTAATGCAAGACCCTGTCAGAAAATATCCGTTTTGTCTGTAACAGTCAGCAAAGTTGTCTAATACTCAAAAAAAAAAAACCTTAAAGGCACAACATGTAAGATTTTTTTTATTAAAATATCCAAAAACCACTAGAACAGTGTTATGTATTTTGCTGACTTGTGTACTTACAATATCGCAAATGTTTCGAAGAATGTTTAAATCCAGAGAAATATGCAATTTTAACTAGTGACACTGAGCGTGTCCATAGTGTCATTGTGTCGCCTGCAAATGACGTCATAACCCCTCGTTTTCTAGTTTTGTTTGGTAGAAAACATGAAAACACAAAAGACGCTTTAATATGTTATGCGTTTTATTAGACCGGTGACGACCGCACAGAGTAGCATTATAACAGAACTTTAGAATGTATCTAGTATGATAAAACAGCGCTGCTTTTTCCCCCACATACTCACGACCGGAAGGAGCGGAAGCAGTCGCCTGTGGCATAATAAAAGCTCTGCTGCTTTCGAGCCGTGTGTCGCGCTCGTCCAGCGGCCTCGTTTCGCTTCGACGGCTTTCAGCCTCACCCTGCTTCATTCTACTACGTTAATAAATCATTAGCTCATCCATGAACATGATTTCTGCCCGAGTCCTGTCGGATTGCTTCGGCTGTGGGGATGAAGACGACAACTCCCATGATTCCACACTCCCAAACTATGCTTTTGTCTCTTTGTTTATTTTGAATACGCGCCCTCTAGCGGCGAAAATTACACATTGTGCCTTTAACAGCAAGTCTTATCCGGTACCCAAAACCAGTGTTTTGTCTGGTACCCTAAACTGTATTAACAGTCTTCTAAAAGCCAAGAAGTTGACTGAGTAAAGTCAGAGAAGAGCAGAAAAAATAGACAAGCTGATGATAGTAAAAAGGAGCAAAGTTTATTGAATAATCTCAGTTTCAATGCTCAGACTTTATCCGACCAGCACAAATGTAACAAGTGTTGTTATACCAACCTGCTTCTCAGCAACATCCCATAAAACCTTGCATTTGCGATATTCCCTCTCATCTCTTATTCGTGAACACACATTTCATGAAACTCCACAATCATAAGATTAAACAACTATAGGAAACACTATAAGCAAAGATAATAAGAAATATAACATAAAACATAATAAAATAGTTATTGAATAAATTATTAAATGATGAATGAGATAAATCACTAAATAATTAAATGTAAATAATCAAATGAAAAATTAGGCCTCCTTAAATGGCTGATGCTTATAAATGATTGTATGATTATATATGAGTAAATGATAATAAATGAATAAAAATAAGATAATAAAACACAAATGTATGATTGCTATCCTGAAGCAACACACACAACAGTTTGCATTTGAGGATCCATATGCTTCAATACACACAAGGAATAAACTCCCTTAATGGAGACCACACAGCTCCCAGAGTCCACCCAATACCCCACCAGAAACTTTAGCCTTCCTGCCGTAGTGGCTCTAGCTCAAGTGTCTGAAGCATTTGTTTAATATGAACGGATTCTGTTCTCATCTTTGCATTTATCTTCCCGAGACCCAGCAATTCATTATTTTTAAATATGTTCTGATAATATATATGAGACACATCTGTCTCCAATGTATCCACTGATAATTTAGCAAAAAAATAAATAAAAAAGTATTGTCATTCAGTAACAGGAAAAACAAAGTTCTTTTGTAATATGTTTCCATCAAGTCAAACCTAAAAGCATCACAGAACATCAGAGTTCATTTCAATATATTTAAATGTATTCTTTTATGATAGTTTTAAATTAGTAACAACAACTATTATTGTCTAATTGTCATATGTTCACATTTAGCTTGCTAATTTTATATTTAAAAACATAAATTTGTATTAAGTTGTTAATGTATGTGGGTTAAACAAATGTAGTTTTCCATCTTTTATCTATATATTCAGTTACATACAGTAAATGTTAAATAACATTATTTATAATTATAAGCTTATTTAGTTTCTTAAAGATATCTATAGAAAGTTTTTATTCAGAATATTTATATGCAAATTCTTTCAAAAACATGAAAGAAACGGTCAATTCTTTATAGGAAAAATTATTTAAAAAAAATATTTGTCTGAACTAAAGGATTAGGAAAATTTAGTTTTCATTTTCCATCTTTTATCTATAGTCAGTTGCATATATATAAATGTTAAATAATTTTTCTGAATTATAAGCTATATTTAGAAAGAAAAGTAAATAGATTACAATAGCTATTATTTAGGAGATCCTTTATCCAGGGTGAATTATGGTTTACCCGAGGCATCCTGAAATTGTGCGCACACACATCTACATTGATTAAATATTTTTTATGCATACGAAAATGCATGTGATGTAACATGCATTATAGGGCTAACTGTGATAGCCAGCACATGTGTGTAGCCTAATATGTCTAACGCTGGTTAATTATTCATATGTTAGTGTAGAGTTACAAGCGCCCCGTCTCCATGGCTGCCTAAGAAACCTACCATGACTTCTTTCATACGGCAAGAAATGGTCATCGCTTGCAATATGTCCTTAACGCGTTTGGATCAAAAACAGCACTTCGCACCATGGACAAGATCTCCATCTTGGCTCTGAATTTCTTCAAGATATAAAGAAAGTTTTCGCGTGGAGAGGGATATGGAGAAGCAGAACAGGCTGACTATCACCAATAAACGTAATTTTACAGATTTAAAGGTTACTAAACAAGCAAGCAAGCTAAGTAAATTTTTGACGTGTTTTAAGCTTTTCAATTGATTTACGGTATAAAGTGTTTTGATCAAGGGCACAATGGTGATAGAACCCTCGTGGGGTTTGAACCAACATCCTTTCTCATATCAGCTCAGATATTTAACCACTAAACTGCAGCACCCAAACACCGACTGTGATGTTTAAGAAAATCAACGCAGTTTTCCGTCCGAACCTCCTTGGACCTCGCTCACGGGACCGGTTCAGGCCCAATGAGGACTACCACAGCGCATGCACCGTCAAACTGGTCCGGAGCACGTCGATGCTCGTGGTGGGGGAGAGCAGTCGCGCGCCGCAGGACTCCACGCTGAAGCGAAGCGTGAGCGCCGTGAGTGTCGAGGCCAGCACGGCCCTGTACTACTACCAGAGCCGAGAGGACCGAGTATGGCTCTACTCCCAGAACCAGAACTGCTTAGAGTACTTACAGGAACTGGTCGCGCTCAGGCGGCAGTACACCAAGAGCATCAACGACCTCAAGAACAGCGAGCGCAAAGAGACCGCGTCCCGCAAGAAGAACCCCGCACCCCGGCCACCGCAAAACAGAGCTGCACAGGTGAGAGGAAACAGGACAAGGCTTACATGTTTAAACATAGAAGTTTTGAACATTGTTAGGGCAAAGTAAAGCAAGTTATGCCAATTTGTCTGCTATCAACTGAAATCTGTATTAGCCTATATCTGAGCATTCTGTGTTAAAAAATATAAATAAGTTCAGTCTTATTCTGTATATGATTTATTCTCTTAAGGATAGCCTATTTATAATCTAGTCGTGAGTTGTTTAAGAATATTCCAATGCAGATGTTTGGCTATTCATTTTTAAGAGGTACAACAGTTTTAGTTTTGTGCTTTATCAGTTCTAGCACAGCCGACATACAGTGATGTTGCACTACAATCGTCTCGAGTTCGAATCCCGGTTCGAGCACCCCCCCACTTCGTTTCCTGTCAACTCTAAACTCTAAAATTTATCATCAGTCAAAAACGCCAAAAAAAAACTAGAAGGAACCTGTGCTAATGAAGTTAGTTTAAATAAGCAATGCAACTACGCATGTACAATATATATCATCTTATTTCAAAGACTTCAAGGCCTGAACCTTCTGCTCCACCAATCCCAAATGAGGAAGACACACTCCAGTTCTTTGATGAAGTCATTGCAAGCTGTGACCCAGAGCCAAGTCAAAAACCCCATG